TATTGGTTAAATCCAGTATAAAACAAACAAACAAAACAAAACAAATTATTAAAACAGTTTTCTACAGCAATATTAAGTGAGTGTGCCTCAGAATGTATGAAAACTGACATAACATGGTGGATAAGGGTGCTTGTGCATGCAAAAGGTGAATATTTACCATGCAAAAAAAAAACATGCATATTGGGTTAAAATTGCTCAAAATGGAACCGTGAGAATATTTTTTGTTGTTGAGATGACATGGAAAATTCAATGACACTGGCGTAAGTCAATCATCTAAATTTCAAGTAACATTTGTAATTCATTTTCTATTAACATTAAATTGCATGAAAGCCTGCTCAAGTTCTGTACTCTTTATAATCAGATCTAAATCGAGCTGTGAATGTATATAAAAACCCTTAACACAGATAATATTACATGTCTTTTATAGTGAGAGTAAAAAAATAAGCAAAGAACACAATTCTTTATTGCTACAATGAGATAGAAACAAGAAGCGTAGACTGACTAAGATACATTTATTTGTCTAAAAAGAATCATATGAATGTAAGAATTAACTATGTCAAATGTCATAAATAACGAAAGTTCCAATAGGTCTGTATAGTCAAAATACTTTGGATAAGTGTTTTTAATTTTTATTTTTTTATTGTCCCAATGTTTTGTGTGAGATCAAGGCACTTTTCATATTTATTTTTTCAAGAGTTGAGTTTTGATCAAAAGTATGCTTAAATATAAATGCAGCATTACGAGATATTACAATATAGAGTGGGATCAATAAAACAATACTACTTGGAATTTGCCATCACATCAAAGAATAGATATTAAAAAATGATTTCATTTCTCTTGTTTCTTTTCAATATCATACTTTAGTGTAATGAAACAGTGCTTCCAGCCACATGTAATAACCAGCAGCCAGCAGCAACCATCCTAGCACATTTTGCTGACAGTCGCCATACATAGGAGGTTTGGAGTTAAGGAAAACTGCTGTCTTGCTAGTAAGTCTTACCTTGACAAAATAATTATGTGCAACCTCTGCAACAGGTCTGCAACAAAATGCAGTGGGAACAAAAGAGATGAGACATCCAGCACCCTATACTAAAAAATACAGCCTTTCATGCATCATTAAAATAAAAATCTATATATTTTTGAATTGCAAATCTCAACAGCAGAATTGAAGCTTATGTGTCCCAACTTCCTGACTGTCAACTGAGTCACCCTTCCATTTAAAGCGTCTGTCACCATTTGAGGAATATGTAGAATTCTCAAAAAAACCCTACCGTGACATTGCTGCTAGGGGTCTGGCGACCAGGGAGACAGATAACATGTGATTTACCTGAACCTGCCCCTCTCTCTCGGCTTGCTCCTCTTTAACTCTGACATTGCAGTGAAAGGAGGATCTGCAGAGGATTCTCCTTTAACTGAGGATCCTATGTTGGATCCTGCATTCATAGACACAGCCAATTCCCTACAGCCGTTACTGGTGACGACTGTTGGCATTGACACTTAGAAAGTCAGGCTAGGAAAGTCAGCTTAGTAAAGCAGTTTTGGTGTATAGATCATGTCCCTGCAGTCTCACTGCTCAATTATATGCCATTTAGGAGATAGATAACTTTCTTTATGAAACCCTAGTCATGCCTTCCTACATGTGACTTGCCCAGCCTTCCTAAACACTTTCTGTAAAGAGAGATCAAATGTCTACACTTACTTTATTGCACAGTCTGTTTCATTTAGAATTTGTTATCTCTTGCTCTATTAATAGCTTACTAGACCTTGCAGGAACCTTCTGTGTGTGATTAAAGTTTAGTTTTCAAAGCAGGAGATAAAAACTTCTAAAGCAATATAACATCTGTTTACAAATTAAGCTATATATTTTCATGCAGGCTGTGTCAGCCAGGGGGGTGGCTATAGCTGTATGGACAAAAACAAAAGTAATTTAACTCCTAAATGACAATGAATTAAGCAGTGAGACTGCAGGGGTAAGAGCTATACACTAAAATGCTTCATTAAGCTAATGCTGTTTTGGTGACTATGGTATCCCTTTAAGGGCTGCCAATGCCACATGTGCTGGGGTGGAAATCACCCCTAGCACACAATTAAAAATATCTCAGTATGTACAGTGTTTCCAGTTCAAAACTGCACATACTGACTCCTACCACCATTACCACTTCAAATCACTGAATGGATTTAGGGAAGAGTAACATTTAAGGAAAAGTAACTATTTTATGAGGTGTTGAAAATATCTGATGAATTTCTGCACATAAAAAAAACTTGTACCAGCAATCGACCTTTTTACTTTTTTACTTTTTTTTTTACTTTTTGTGAAACATAACACCTGAGTAATATTTTGTGGAGAAAAAAAACTCTATCAAAGATGTGTGAATCAAACAAATAAATAAGCAGTTACAAACACAAAACATTATCTACAGCAAATGAGAAACATAAAGTTCTCTCATGTAAATTGCTATTCAGAGTATTAAGCACCTGGTGTTTGATTAAATTCAGATCATGATTGCTAATCCGGTAAAGCTCTCTCAAGGTGACTTCAATAATTCACAGTCAGTATGGCACAATGATGCTACTGGATGCTGTGGTAATCGTTGTGTGCATGCAGCTAATTAGATTCTAATCTTTAGGGATGATCAAGGCTAACGAGCTGCAAAAAAATCTTTCTCTGTTTATTTCGATTGCTATCAGCCATTCTGGTTACGAAGCTTGAAATGATTTTTGTGGAATGTTGCACAGCTTTGTCTTCAGTGATACATTTATTGTTCTTGGGGAAATACACAGGTCATATATTGTACCAAACCATTCGCACATCAACACACCATTATTGCATTACGTAACTTTAATGTTTGATATGATTTATTTTCTATTACTTTTGCATATTGGTAAATCCTTTAGAAATAAACAGTTGTCCCATGATATGAAAGAGAAATTCAGAAAGAGATATTTTTTTCTGTTAATAAATAGTAATGCATTCTTGACTTTTATCCACGTCTGCTTTCTAGACTTGGACATAGGTTTTGTGAAACAGTGATTCAGACGAAAATGGGAAATTTGTCAATATGTCGTAATCCCGAAGCAATCAAAACAACCAATGACCGAAATGGTGATTTGGGAGTTAACTATTTGCTGATAGCCCCACCAGCAGGCAAATAGTTAAAAACTGTCTGTGGGGGTCACTATGATCCCACATTAGTACAAGGGAGCTTATACCTCCTCTATGCCCCCTATCTAAATGCCCAGAGTGGGGTCATGTCTGACGAAAATCCAGCAGCCATCAGTTAGAGTAAGAGGTTTCTGAATTCAAGATTAATTACCATTACTCTTAGTCCAAAAAAGCCTGACTGAGAGTGACAGATATTTATATAATTAAAACTTTACATATAGTGGGTACCCAAGGCTAAAGAGGACTGAATCCGAGTGCATAAATGTCACTAAATAAATAGAAATGTTTAAAATGTGATTACATATGTTTATGTTAAAGTCATTATTTTTTAACCAGGGTACTTGGTTTCCAAATGTTTTTTTCAATATACATTTTGTTCGAACATGTGTTGAGTGTTTCATCCTAACAGATTTTTTTTTTACCACCAATGTAGTCCTTCAAGTTACAGTACATAATAGATTTAGAGACTTAAGAATCTTACAATATTATTTGACTTATCTACGACAACCTGTTATGTCCTCCCATATGTGCTGCTGACAGTTTGTAAGGAGGTCTGCAGCATGTGTTAGTATTATTCTGTTCACCAATCAATCTTCTGTTAACACATTTTTATTTCACATTTGTGGTTTCCAAGGTGCCAGAGTACATAGCGTATTGAAAATGTTTTATAATGTGACATCTTCGGTCAATAATAGATGTTGAATTTTAAAATGCAGTATGTATTATTCAATGTAAGATTAACGATTTGGAAGCATTTATAAACAGACAATAAGGGAAAAATAACCTTTTGGAACTGACAAATGAATGGGTTTATGATGTACATATGATAGATCACTGAAAGATGGGAGATCAAGCAGAATAATTGCACCACTTGTCTGTGAGAGGTGGTCATAAGTATGTGGACACCGGACCATAACAACCTTATGAACTTGTTAGCCTACTCTTTGCGGCTCTAACATCCTCCCCTCCACTCCTCCAGGAAGACTTTGCACAAGATTTTGGTAAGTGCTAAGTGCTACTCACGTGAACAGACAAGCACACTACTTGTATGCTTGTCTGTTCACATGGGTAGCACTTAGCTCTTCATTTCTTTCTGCTTATTTTAGGGGGTTATCTATTTTGATTATGTAGACACATGCCTTTTTATTGTGTGCCGAGGTTGTCTAAGGGCAGTTGTAGAACCTTTACTGCTAGGGTTTTCTTACCCTCTGCTAATTGTAGGCTCGCTTTGTTAATGAACTGATATTATTTGTGGGTTTTTCTCCAGCTCTCTACATACATTTATTTAACCTTATTATTGTCCATTACTTATTATATCTAGCCATTTGTTATAGTAGGTCTACATTCTAAGCCTATGATATCAAGCCCCTATAGTGGCTATACTTTTCCAGGACTGGATGCCTTTGAGGCAACTTGCTTTCTATTCTATGTTTAGGGTGTTGGACATCTTTTAGTGGCATACAACTTTATATACTGGTTTAACATTTATGAGCAGATTAATGTTTATTAATTTATTTATTCATTAATTTTTTTTCAGTTTGCAGATGGTTTGTTTTTTATTTTATCGTGCCATTATTAAAGATCAATGTTTGGGCTTTTCCTGGGCCTCTTACCATTTCTGGTTATTTCCAGTAGATGGTATTTGGCACCTTTCATGTTACTTTTTGTTATTCAAATATTGAGAGTTACCCCCTTTCTACAAATAGATTAGGCTATAAAATCCTACTTACTCATACAACTTGACATAGTTTTTACATTGAGCTGTTATATTTCATTATCTTTGCACTGGCTCCGAATCAGCACCTTAATTGGTTCCAAAGGTGTTCATTCGGGTTAGGGTCAACACTCAGGGAACCTAGCCCCACACACTCAGCACAGCTGTCCCAGGGAAGCAGCAGTGACATGAGAGCTGAAACTCCCAGCAACCCACAAGCAGAGGGAGATGACTCAGCCCCAGCTACTAAAAGGGACATCAGACTCCTATTACAGGAGATGAAGGGGCTGTTTGACACTGACATAAACTTAATCCGCACAGAAACGCAGGCGGTGACGGCAAGAGTACAGGCCTCTGAAGAAGACATACTAGATCTCCGACAGGAGGTGAAAAGCATGGGGGACGCCCTGAAACATTTACAGACAGCGAACTCAGCGCTCCAAAACACGCTAGACGCCATGGAAGATCGCAACAGGCGCACACATATTAAGATTCGGGGTATTCCTGATACAGTGGGACCATCCGAATTACCACAGTTCCTGAGGAGACTCACGGCCACAATACTGCCACATACACAAACCAAAAAGCTGGAATTTGACAGCCACTTTCGCATTAACAAAGCAAAAAGGGCACCCACAACGGCCCCAAGGGACGTCATCGTCCGCTGCCATTCCATGACAGACAAACGCCGCATACTAGCAGCAGTAAGAGACAAGACACCCTTGGCCTTCGAAGCCTCACAACTTACCTTCTTCCAAGATATCACGCGGAGCACCCTACTCTGGAGAAAGTCCTTGAGCAACATAACGGAACAACTGCAGAAGGGGAACGTAGAATACAGATGGCTGCTGCCAAGAACTCTGGCGGTATTCAGCGGAGAAGAAGTTCTAAAACTCACCTCACTCTCGGAGGCCCCAGCGCTTCTCCAAAAATTGGGACTAACTCAGAACGCCCCAACACAAGCTACCCACTCCTGGGACCCGGACAGAATAGTACCATATGTCCCTAGGAGCAACAAGAGACCGGAGACGGAGACCTGAACACCTTAATCTGTTTACCTCTTAATTTTATTTCCATGCTCTGATATTCTCTCCTCTTCTATGACTTCACCCTATTGCTCCACAAAAACACGACATCTCACTATTAACTCCCCATACAAAGTCGGAGACGATCTCCCAACCCCCGCGACCCTCTTAGGTTAAGGGCCAACATTACCTACTAACCCAAGCATAGCAAACGCGACACAAAAACCACACTCAGGCACAGACAGACGCACATATACAATTTTTCACCGAGGACGAGCGACAGCACTTTACAATTATCAACACCCCCCCTCAAATAACAGAGAGGAGTGCCACTTAACCACCTAACCACTCACAGGACCCAAGCAACATAGACACAAACATTCACAACCAGTTCACCCTATGGGAACCTACCGCATGGGCACACTCGACACACTAGAAAACCAGAAAAAGTGCAGAAACATGACCACAAGTTCTTCCTGACTACTAGGACGCAAGCTAAATTTCTCAGACCGTAGAACAAAATGACTCATACTATATACTTGCTGCCAATCCTATGCTCCTGATATGTTATAAGTGTGAAACGTATAGACTGATCTAGACCTTTGGCAAAACAATTGTTATTTACTAATCTGCCTATGTTGGAAAGGCAGCTCAAGTATGTTATTCTTTGTTCAATGCACAGAAAATAAAGAATTTAAAAAAAAAAAAAGATGACAAATCAAGTTAATACATGTCACACGCTACATAGGAATTGACAATTCAAATAGCTGATTTATATATAAACATTAAAAATACCCCCAAAAAACAAGGAAAGGAAAGGAAAGGAAAGGAAAAAAAAAAAGAAAGAAAAGAAAAAGGCAAAATACATAACACATATTCTGGCATATTTTGAGGAGCAAAGAGAACAACCAATAAATACAAGTAACTTGTACTAAAAGACTATGGAGGTCCAGGGGGACCATTTTTTTTTTCATTTTCCTAGTGAAAGAATTAAAAATATAGCTTGTTTCCATTTTATGTTGAAATTCAATTTCCATCCAATCAGGGGGGAAGGGGGATTTCCAATATCTAGCAATATTAATTTTTACTGCAAAAAAAATATGGGTCAAGAGTCGTCTTAAATTACCATCCTGTGTGGGAAATCAAATATTAAACAAAAATAACTGTGGGCTAATTTCATTTATTTCATCTTAAATATATTCTACTAATTCAAACATCTGTGATTTTAAATTGTTAGGCCTGGAACATTCCCACCAGATATGGTATATAGTCCCATCTTCTAGTCCGCTTCTCCAACATACCTTAGTATGAACGGGTGTGATTTTATGAAGTCTAACCGGCACTAGATACCATCTGTATATTAATTTAAAGTGGGTTTCTACTAAGGATACATTGTGGATAGATTGTTTTACCAATCAAAGGTTGCCTCTTTTTACAGAGGAGTGTGTATAACAAAAGTGCTCAAAAGAGTCAAAAAGTGATTTACAGGCAGCTCAATACACTAGTGTGGAAATATCCTCTATTCCACTGAATAAATTTAGTAGATATTGGTGCGGTGTAAGTGACAAGGACCTACACCTATAAGTGGAGCGCTCAAACACAGATAAATCTTACCAAAACGTAGTCTCATTCAATGGTAAAATATGGGGTACATGTCAACATAAAATACAGAAAATACAATATAGTGTAGACGGTACTAAAAAATGGCTTCACAGTGATTATAATAATATTGTGTTGAATATTACACTCACATTTCAAGGAGCCTGTATATAGAAAACACTGGCTCCGTATAAAGGCTTGTGTGCTGTTATGGTAGCACCACCCTCCTACTTCGGCTTGAAGAATTTCTCAGGAACACGAAAAAAAGAGAAGAAAGCAAACCAATGTGTAGACTTATGGTGATAGATGGCACAGATATGTGTTCAATAAATGGGGTGCTCACCTGGTCCTGAGCCTACGAATCCCGGCTCTAGGTATGTGGATTTTGTGCCAGTTTGAATGGGGATGGCACTACCCCTGTGAGGATTCCTTGGAGGCTCCAAAAGGAACTTGGATGAGGTATTGAATAAAAATGGTGAATTTATTAGTTTAAAATAAACATAAAAACAAAGATGATAAAAGTCCTCAAATAAAAGTCCTTTAAAAATGGCCAATACGCGTTTCACTCTCAAATAGAGCTTCTTCAGTCAGCTGTAATGTTGGTCCTCTGAATCCTCCATTTTAAATGTCATCTGGGTCTTCCCCTTTAATGAGTTAAGTTCATTCTGTCCAATCAGATTCAATTTCACATAATGTGTGTGTATGTGTGTACCTTTAATAGGTTAATGATGTTGACGCCTTTATTTGTCTATTTTTTCATTGGTAGGCAGCATTGGTTGGCGGAAGTGCTTGTTTTCAACTGGGTGGTTGGCGGAAGTGACGTCATCTAATCATGTGATCGCCATCCAGCCAAGTTAAAAAAAAAAAAAAAAAGCAAATAGGGCTGCAGAATTGGAATGACAGTAAAATTGCATGATGTCAAATATTAAATTCCTAGTGATATAATATAAATGTTGGTGCATATAGACTAATATATTTACATTGTTAAAGGTGCATATAGTGCTGGGTTTTTTTTTGTTTTTTTTTTCCTTCCTTTTTCATTGGTGGGCAGCATTGGTTGGCGGAAGTACTTGTTTTCAACCAGGTGGTTGGCGGAAGTGACATCATCTAATCATGTGATCGCCATCCAGCCAAGAAAAAAAAAAAAAAGGCAAAAAGGGCTGCAGAATTGAAATGACAGTAAAATTGCATAATGTCAGATATTACATTCCCAGTGATAAAATATAATTTGTGGTGCATATAGACTAATATATTTACATTGTTAAAGGTGCATACAGTGCCGATGGTACATATATTTTTATACATTAAAAAGGTGATATTACATACATATGTGCTGGAATAGATATCCTTATTGGGTATTTTCCCAAAAGGTGGTTAAATCAATATTCTTTAAGTGGTATTCACAATGTTTATAAGTTTGGGCATAAATAATATGCCACTGATTGAAAATGAATAAGAAAAATGTATAAAAGAAAAACAAGGGTACAAAAAGAGTAGAGTGGATTACAATGGATAAATTCCATTGAACCCCAAAAAAAGGGGGAGATACCCATTTAAATGAAATGGCAGAGTTCGAAGTCTAATTAAATGGGAAATTGCTACTCTGGAAAAATACATTCGTGAAAAAATCACCCCGAGGGGACTCAGGTTTTTTAAATTCCCTTCATTTGATCAGGAAGATAAAGCATTTATGGACGACTGGGCCACTATGCTTGATTCCTTCTCCTTTGTTATGATGCAAAAAATCATAACTAGGAGGAAACTTACACTAGATAAATTAGACATGGAAATTAATAAAGAACAACATTTTCTTATCAATCACACTAACACAGACGAATATAAAAAGATCACGGATAAAATCCAATGTGTTATAGACAAAGTAGAACAAGAGACTATACAAATCAAAAAGAGTAAATATACACGTGATAAGAATGACTACAGACGCAATGAAGTTAGGACATTTGGGAAAAATCGAAAACCAGAAAATCATAATACATATGATCAATACAGACACAATTCTTACAATCCACATCACACACGCACAAATTATCAACCAAGGGCAAACCCATTTAGGGACCATCACAATAAGAGACCTAGAGAGAGAATAGAACCTAAACCTTCCACAAGTCCCCATGGGAGAACCCACACACCCAACATGAGAACTCCTATCCAGATGGAAAAAAGAGCAAAATCAGATGTAATATCTGACATTATGCAATTTTACTGTCATTTCAATTCTGCAGCCCTTTTTGCCTTTTTTTTTTTTTTCTTGGCTGGATGGCGATCACATGATTAGATGATGTCACTTCCGCCAACCACCTGGTTGAAAACAAGTACTTCCGCCAACCAATGCTGCCCACCAATGAAAAAAAAAACAAAAAAACAAAACAAAAAAAACCAGCACTATATGCACCTTTAACAATGTAAATATATTAGTCTATATGCACCAACATTTATATTATATCACTAGGAATTTAATATTTGACATCATGCAATTTTACTGTCATTCCAATTCTGCAGCCCTATTTGTTTGTTTTTTTTTTTTATTTGGCTGGATGGCGATCACATGATTAGATGACGTCACTTCCGCCAACCACCCAGTTGAAAACAAGCACTTCCGCCAACCAATGCTGCCTACCAATGAAAAAATAGACAAATAAAGGCGTCAACATCATTAACCTATTAAAGGTACACACATACACACACATTATGTGAAATTGAATCTGATTGGACAGAATGAACTTAACTCATTAAAGGGGAAGACCCAGATGACATTTAAAATGGAGGATTCAGAGGACCAACATTACAGCTGACTGAAGAAGCTCTATTTGAGAGTGAAACGCGTATTGGC